GAGACCTGAAATATTATTTACTTCAGAGCAGAGGACACTCGGCTCCCATGCAGGCCGGGTTTGGCACGACTCTGTTACTGATTGATAGGCCTTTCAGGAAACAAAGACCACGAGAGAATTCAACATGCTCCTGGCTCTGGGCCAAGCCAGCCTCATCTCCTTTGCTTTGTTGAGTGTGTCTTTTTGTCTGCCTTCATCCCTTGTCCGGCGCCTCTGTGTTAACTACTAGGAGGGAATGAGTGTGTATTTGAGGTGTGTGTGCGGGTGCATGCACACATCCAGCTTTCCCTGAGCACAGCTCTCCTGGGGGCAGGGGGAATAAGGGGATCAACTCCAGCTCCCCCACTTACCCCTTCCCAGAGCCCCCTGACTTGGAAGCCAACACCTAGAATCTTTTTCTTGTGTTTGCTTTTCCCAAAGGCAAGTCCAGAGACAGACGAGGACCTTCTCAAGGTCACACAGCAGGCTGGGGGCAAAGCTGGCGGTGAGGCCAGTTTTCTGCCTCCTCCAGCATGGGCTTCACTGAGCTGCAGGCAACCTGCTGGGGTCACGAATTGCTGCCCCAGCTTGGAACGTCCCCTCTCCTACGCTCCCTCCGCTATGCTCCCCTGGGGAATTCCTCTTGCTGACACCAAGTCAGCCCTTCCGGGAAGCCACAGTCAGAATTTCGCGAAAAAGGAACCAAGTTTAGAGCTCTGGAGTCACAGAGAAGCCAGGAGCGCCTGAAGGCCCCGGGGGTTGGGGGAGCGGGACTGGGGGAGGTCACGCAGGGTCGCAGCAGGCAGCCCAACAAGCCTGAAAAATAAGCTTCCTGATCAGAGCTTGGGGAGCACGAGGCCCATCCACTCCTGGGAGAAGCCCGCTCCCCCGGTCTCCCACTGCCACCTCCCTAACCCCTCCAGTGTCGGCTGAAGCCCTGGGCTCCAAGCTTCCAAGTTCTAAATAGGATTCGTCCCAAGCCCTCAGTCACTCAACTGCAAACATGTACTGTCCCCAGTCCGGGAGGGGGCACCGAGGCCGAGCCGGGGGTTTCCTCCAAAGCTGGGTCACCTGGGTGCCCTCTGTTTCTCCCAGTCTAGCCCAGGCTCAGCGCTACCGTCCCAAGGCCCTTGACCGAGGCTGCTGTGGCTCTGGCTCCGAGGTCCAGGGCAGATCCATCTTCCCAGCCCGGACGCATCCCGACGACAGGACAAGGCCGGGCGGCCGTGGCATTTGCCTCTGATCTCTGCTGGCCAGGCGTCTATCAGGCGGAGGATGAAGAACGGGGCCTGGTGAGGAGTGGGTCGCTGCTGCCCCAGAGGCCTCTGCTGAATTGCAGTTCAGAGCTCAGCTGCCTGGGGCCGAGGATCAGCAGCTGGCGATTAATCTCTCCAGCAGCAGCCCACTGTCCAGCAGCAAGGAGGCACGGGAGGCAGGCCTGGGGGAGGTCTCCACACCCGCTCTACCCTGGGATGCTCTTCAGCAGGCCTCCCGACCCCCACCCCCGCCTCCCCCATCTGCCCAGGGAGCCCACGCCCTTTGATTGAGGCAGGACCAGTGGAGATGTTCTCGGTGGTCCTTCGGGGCATCCCCTACTTGCTCAGCAGGGGAGAGTTCGGGATTGCTGCGCGGTGCGGGGAGGTCTTCCCAAAGGTCCCAAACTTTAGAAAAATTGGAGGCCAGTGCCAGGGCACCTTCACTCTGGAAAGGAGATCCATGCCCCTAGGAGCTAAGGATCACCCAGTCCAAGCCTCTACTTCCTCTGATGGGGAAACCAAAGGCAGGGAGGAGAGGGCCCCAACCCAGGCCACCTAGCAGGGGAGCGCCAGCCAGTACCTGAGAGAGGACCTCTCTCACTCTCCCTAACCCTGGGCTCATTCTCTGCCCTCGTGGCCTGCACACGTGCGCTCCCCATCCGCCAGCGTGCAGAGGCTGGGTGAGATTGGGCAGTGGGTGCTCCAGCATGGGATGGGGCGAGACTAGCTGATGGGCTCCCCAGCTCATTCTGCCCTACCCTGAACCTCGTGCCCGGCTCTTCCTGTCCTGGATGCTGCGAGGGAAGGCCAGGGCAGAGCAGGCTCAGAAGACCGCATGGCCCCAGCCTCCAAGGCCAGCACGTGTCTTTGGTGCCTGAAAGCACTCTGTCCAGGGAGCCGGGGAGAGGCTGCTGCTGGGGCAGGGTGGAGCGGTCGGCCCCTCCCCAGACTGTGAAGCAGGCATTTTCCTTGGGCCCTCTGAGTCTCTACCTGCATCCTCCTCAGCCCCCTGGCCATGCCCACCTCCTAGGCCAATGACTTCCAGCTCTGCTCCACACAAAGTTCACCTGGGGAGGTTTAAAAACCACCAACACCCCATCAATTAAGTCAGAATCTCTGAGGCTGGGGTGGAGGAGCCCCCCTCAGGCAACCTCTTTCGCTTGCCACATCACAAATGTCCCTGCTCAGTGTCTCCACCTCTCTCAGGGTCCTGCTCATGACGCTGATTAACGTAAACTATGGGGTTAGAGGCTTTGTGGTTACCCCAAGCACTGGGGAAAACGTGCAGATCACATATGCTCTCTGCCTTCCAGTAGGAGTGAGGGCTCCAGACCCCACAGCCAAGAATCACCCCAGGGTAGGCAGTGATACACCTGAGGGACATGCAAACTCAATGGGAAGAGCTCTGGGCTTTCCCAGGAGACCAGGGCGCTGGGCAGACCATTCAGCGAGCCCCTCCCAGTAGCAAAGAGTCCCCAGCCCTCGGAAAGACTAAGCTGAATACCCACGTTTGAGGGGGATTTGGACTAAGACACATGCTCTCTCTGGTGGTAATAACAGGAATTGCAGCCCATCAGACTAAGGCTGTTTTTGTTGCTGTTGTTTGATTAAGAAAAATTCATCCAATCACTTCCCAGCCTTGGTTGTTCTTTGTGACTTAGTTTGTGTCTGAATTGTGAAAAATCCCAAAGTGAAGTGAAAGTTCAGTAGCTCCTAGTCCGTGTGACCTTTGTGGTGAGGGAAGGGAAAGTGCTCAAAAGGGCCCAGAACTCAGAATGCCGCTCGATCCGTGGTTCTCAGCCCTGGATGCTCTCCAGAGTCACCTGGAGCCTGTTAAGCATCAGCTTGCGCAGGCTCCCCCAGGACTCATGTTCATCAGGTCTGGAGGGGATGTGGGGTACCTGGTGGTTTGGACAGCGCCCCAGGTTCTCTGGGATGCATAACCTGGGACCCAATGGAGCCTCATGTTTCACAAGGATGGAGGCCTTGCAGCAAAGGCAGAGAGGGGAAATGACTCACCCAGGACCGTTTCCCCTCCAGAGCAGCTGGAATTCCCCTCCAAGTTGTCACATTCATGGGCCTGGGTATAGAACATTCTAGAAGCATGACTCCTTTCCACTGGTCTTACTTCTCCCCAGGTGGACCACAGACCTGGAGGACCCACTTTTGTCGTTTGCCTTGCTGCTACATCCAAGAAGCTCCAGGAGCTCACTGCCTCCCAAAAGCCTGCCTGGTTGGACCTGCCCCGTTCCTGTTCGTTTCTCCCACTGTCATGGATGGCTCAAGCGTGTGCCCATCTCATATACGGAAATACTGAATTCTATCTGTTAGGGTTCGGCCTGTCACATTTTGGCATGGGTGAGCCCACATTTGGAGCAGGGTGTCACAAAGACCGTGGCCCCGAGTTGTAAGTTTCCCCCGTGTGGCTCCTGGTCTGCCTGGAGCTTCTTCTCCCACCAGGGCTGCTCTCTTTTCTGTCCCTCTCCAAGCCCACAGGTGGTCAGTGTGGTGGGAAGAACGCTTGAATGGCAGCCGCAGACCTGGACTCTAGCTCTGGCTGCCAGCCAGGCTGCCTGTGACAGCTGGACAAGTCATTGCCGTTCTCGGGGCCTCAGTTTCCTTTCTGAAAAAGTGAGGTTTTCACATTTTTGTTCTCTAAGGACCTCCTGTTATCAAGTCTTCCGTGATTCTGGGAGGGTTGGTGGTCTTCAGGGGCTGGGGGCAGTGGAATAACACAAAGAGCTCAGTTCTCAGTGGAATGGTGGCCTGCGCTGCTTCTGGCCCCCAGAACACACCCATTCATCTTAAACTCCCCCAACTTGCTGCCATCTTGGGTTCCCCCCTCCAGTTCTCTCCTTCCTTTCCTCAGATGCTTACAGACCCAGATGAGGAAACCACACAGCAGGTGGTGCCTGATGCTGCCATCCCATCCAGCCTGCCGGAGGCCTCCACATGGAAGGGAGGGAAGGGAAGACGGGCTCCTTCTGAGTGAGAAACTTCCAGAGGAGAGCGTGCTGTGCTGCAAGGAGGCCACAGGGGTTAGGAAACTGGGCATTGGAAGGAGGGCCAGCCTGACACCATCTTGGGCTGAAGTCACCCTGGGTGGGTGCCTGCTAGAAGGGACAAGGGCCTGGAGGAAAGGGTAACAAGGACCCTACCACCCTCACTGTCCACTCCATGGCCCCTGGCTCCTGGCCCTGGGATTACTGAAGCCAGCATCCAAATAGGTGGATGAGAGTAGGTCTAGCTGGGGTCCCCGTCCCCAAGAGTGTAAAGTGGGTGAGGGTCAGCAGGGGGATAGGGAGAGAGCGTGTGCTGAAGCCCACAGCAGGCCCCCCGACCCACCCATCCTGGCGTGCTGGTGCACATGGGGAAATGGCAGAGCACACAATGTGGCCACAACTTGGGCGGCCCAGGGCATGTGCACAGCAACTCCCAGTGGGGAGTCCAACATGGCATGCAAGGCCTGGGGCAGACACCCAACAGCATCCAACAGAGCCAGCAGCTTTGAACCTGCAACCCTCCAACTTCCCGGCTTTCTCTCTGCCTTGCATTTGGAAGGCAGGCTGAGTCCTCTGTCTCCAGGGCTCTTGGCAATTCAGGGGGCAAGGAGGGGCCTACAGATAGCCGTGCTGAACTTCTTGCTTTAATAGGCAGATGGGTGTCTGAGCAACTAACTGAAAACCAGAAGAGACCGGGCTGTATGGTAGTCTGGCTTGGGGGAGTGGGACATGGCAGTTATAGGAGAGAAGGAGGGACGCAGGCCACAGAAGGAGCCAGGCTGGCTTTATTATTAGCACGAGGTGGCACGGGGTGGGAGAGGACGGTGCCCATCTAGGGTCACGTGGAGCCTGGTGCTTCCTTCAGCCTGAGGGCCCAGCAGTGCCCGGACAAAGGTCTCCAGCTCGGGGAAGCTTCCCGACTGCCCTGGTGCAATAGTGGGCACAGCTGCCTCTGAAAAGACAAAGGTGGGACTGGGGCTGTGATGGGGCAGAGGGAGGCATTTTCCTTTCATTCCTTGTTCATCTTACCTTTCTCCAGAGCCTCTCCACAGCATCCTTTTGCCACACATGCCACGCCAGGCACTTGGTGGGTGACAGACCCCCTGGCTGATGGATGGAAGACCCTAAACTTCTTCTCAGCCCAGTCCCAAGATCTTTCTTCTTTCTCCATGCCCATCCCTGGCCACCTCCCCGCCCGCTCCTCCCAAACACACCTGTCATCACAGCTCATCTTCGTTGACTTGCCTGGGATACAAGAAGGAAAGAAGACAAGTAAGAGTGAGTGAGGGAGGTGGGGAGACGTGGGGTCCCCCTCCTCCCAGGCCTCAGAGGCCCAACCCGTTGCCTGCCTTCCATCCCCTGCTCCCATCCACCTCAGTCGGCTACCCTAGGCAGGCACTCACCGGTGCTGCTTCTTGGCTCCGCAGCGGAGTCTTTTGCCTTGAAGAGAGAAAGGAGGTTAGTTTTCATTGGCCTCTTTCCTCCGAGGAGACCCTCTCTGTCCTGGAGGACTCGGCTCTGTAGTCTCTCCTCCCTCCCTCCTGCCAGCATCCCATGGTGTCCCGGAGTGCAGCTTGGAAGCCACAACTGACTGTTTCTCTCTCTATAGGGCTGAACCATAAGCATTCAGGAGCCCATCAGTCAGTCAGTCAACAAACATTTACTGCAGTGGCTCCGTGGTGAGCTGTGAGTGCACTGAAAGTGGTGGCTGAACCTGGGCTGTGGCATGGCAATGCGCCTCGCACGTTGCTTGGAGTGTAATAGCTGCTCAGTGAGCACTTAGAGAAGGAAGGCAGTCAGTCCAGAGCCCAGAGCCCCTCTCAGGCCATCTCCTCCTGCACGTTGTGCTCAACCACTTCCCAATGCCGCCCTCAAGGAGCTTACAGGCGAACTGGGGAAACCAGCCACGTCCAGACCAAAGCCTTCAGGGGCAGTTGCACCGAGCATGACGTGTTAGAATCCCCAGACACAGAGGTAGTTGTGTTTCTGTGTAGTTTTCTTTTGGTTGCACCCAAACAAGTCAGTAAGCATTTGTTAAGGCACTGCTGTGTGCCTGCTGGGGCTGGGTGCTACACTAGGACCCCTCTCTCCCCCAGAACTCTCCAAGCTTACGTTGGATCCTTACAGGTGCTTTCTCGGCAGCCCTGGCTTCAGATGCTGGCCTAACCTTATGAGGCCAGTGGGGTCATCCCTGTTTAACAGATGAGCAAACCGAGGCCCAGGGAGCTTGCGATCCATGCTGAATTAGCAGCAGGGCCTCAGGCCTGGGGCTCCCAGGTGCACTTGCTTTCTAGCAGTGGGGGCGGAGGAGCACCCCTGGGTTCAGCTGAACGCGCCTCTGCCTCTGATCGGCTGTGGAACCTCAGGCAAGTTGCTGCACCTCTCAGGGTGGGTCTGATTGTTCAGCTGGAAAATGGTGGCAGTCGTGGCCATCCTCCAGTGTTGCTGAGAGCATTACACAGGCTAAGAAGTAGCTCAAGCCAAGAAAGTGCCCAGATCTGGGGGAGGGGGGTGTCCAGTAGAGGTTGGTTCCCTCCCCTGGCCTGGCCCTCCTTTGACACTGGAGCTTCCCGGACCGGTGGGAGCCCCCTCTCCCATCTCAGCAGCTCCTCCCAGGTCCACAGAGGGTGCGCGTGAGGAAGAGGGACCCTCTGTGTGGTCCAAGGACCAAGTAGGGAGCATCCCAAGACATCCCTCTCCACAGGGTGTCTGTCCGTTCCCACATCCTGCATGGGGGAGGAGAGGGGAGTGGAAAGACACACTCTGCCCTTCCCGGATCTGGGAGGGGGCGAGAGGGCTCCCCCACCTCCCTCGGAAGCCAGTGTGCTCAGTGACTTTGAGATGTGCCCCCATCCAGCACCCTTCCGAGGCTTGCTGCACTCACCGAGGAGGATGAGAAGCCCCACGAGGAAGGCCAGGGCAGCGAAGATCAGACCCCCATTGCGGACAGTCTCATAGTCTGAGGAAGGAGAGGGCAAGGGGTGGAAGGGGTCATCGCAGGCCCCTCTCCCTGCAGCCCATCCTGGCAGCAGCCCCACAGCAGCAGGGGAGATGAGGGCACATAACCCGGGCTGGGAGAAACTGGGAACTGGGCATATGGGGCCACGCTCAGGGAGAGCTGGGGGAGGGCCTGCCAGGCTTACCGTAGTAGAATGGGTCCACGTCCCCCTTGGGGCTGCCACCTGAGGAGAGACGAGAGGTGGGGTGAGGGGCAAGTCGGACAGTGGGTGGAACCCCATCCTTCCTGCCCCAGCGCCCCCAAGGGTCCAAGTGGGCAAGGAGAGGCTGGTGGGTCTGCTAAGGCTGCTACCAGTGGGAGCCTCTGCCCTGGGCTGCTTCAGACACAGTCAACCTGGGACCCAATACTGAGCATCTGAAGCAGGGACCCGTGCTGCCTGGGGCCTCTGGCACCCCTGGGAGGGCTGGGCTCTTTCCTCATCTCACTGTGCACAAAAGGAAGAAAAGGCCCAGGAAGACTTCTCCCCTTACACTCGCCAGCAGCCTCTCTCCCTGTGACTAATCGATGGCAAGGTGCTGGGCAAATGGTGTGAAATGAATGGGTGAAGGAATAAACAGAATCTTAGAGTTCACTGAGCAGAAGGAGGAAACTGAGGCCCAGTCTGGAGATTTGTCCGAAGTCCCAAGGAAAGTTGGAGGCAGAACTGGGTCTTGATATTCTCTCGTATGTTGCTGTCCTCAGGGCGAAGCAGATTTATTTAAGAAACTAGTAGGTAGAGCCCACCACGAGCCAGGCTGAGGAGAACAAAGCACGAGCTCACTTAACCATCGTTACAACCCTAGGAGGCATGGCGTTATTCCAGTATCACCCGTGAGAAGATGGGGGCAGAGAGGTTAAGTAACTCACCCACAGTTACACAGCTAGTAAAGGGGAGAGCTGAGATTTGAAGGCAGGCAATAGGCTGCTAAGAATCTGGGGGCTCAACGCTTTGCTACGTTGCCTCTCAGACGTCAGAAGGAAGGAGCTGTTCAAGGCCCAGTGGTCTGGTCCAGTCTCCTGCCTCCTGCGGTGTTTCCCCACCCAGATGAGGAGCCACTCAGCCGCCAGCGGATACCACAGCTCTGCTCTCCAGCCTCAGACACTGAGCACATTTGCCCTTGAGCAGCCGGAGGGCAGCCTGGCCAGCGCTTTTCTGCCACGGCTGAAGGTGGCCCCTCTTTTCTGCCCTTCTTGAGCCCCTTCTTGGTTCTGGGGAAGCAGTGCCCAAGGTCGAAGGAATGTACACGTTGGCACTTCCCAGGCTGTGCTGAGCTGTGCCCAGGGCAGCGGGAGGCTTCAGGGCCTGACCAGCCCAGCCGTCCCCTGCAGCAGTCTCCCTAGGCCAGGAGCGAACAGCTTAGGAGGGGTCAGCACCTGGGCCTGAGGGGCCTGAGGCCAAGGGGAGGCTATGTGGGACCCAGGCAGTAGGTCTCACACAGTAGGCCTTCAAGGTTGTCTCACAGAGGCAGCTCAAGGCTCATTCAAGGTCACATGGGGAGTTAGGGTCAGAGCTGTGACTAGACCCCCGGCTCCCCTCACCACACCAGGGAACTGCCTCATCCTGAGCCATTTGATGAGCCCACCCCCACCCAAACCCCTCATCGTTCCTGGAACTGGCTCAAAATCCACCGCAGTCAACAGATGCCCTGTCGGCCTCCAGGCCTGACTCACTCACATCACAAGATCCTTGGGAAGGGCCTCCTGCACTTGGGGTCTCACCCCAAAGCCAGCCTGAGAGGGCTGACCAGAGGGGCTGGCTCCCTCCCCCACCTGACCCCCATCCACCTCCTGCTCTTAGCTTAAACACATGGAACCCGGACAGGTGTGTGCCAGGTCACAGGAGAAGCTCGTCCCCCACCCCACCCCAGCTCCTACTTAGCGCCCGACGTCCTGCCATTCAAACTGTATTTCTTTGGAGTTAAGGCAGCATCCTCTTTTAAAAGCAACTTTTCTTAGAGCGGAGGCTGGCCAGGCTGGGGAGGGGTGCCGGGTACTCCGGAAGACAGGGGTGTCAGGAGATGGAAGCGCAGGGCCCGGCTCAGCCCTCCAAGAGTGGTCCAAGCAGAGGTGCGTCCTGCTGCGCTCGCGTCCACACCCACTCACCAGCGTCCGTCGAGGACCCCACCATTTCCCCAGCAGATGGTTCCTCTGCCACCCTGTTCCCGCCGCCTCTGCTTCGGGGAGAGCGGCTGGCTGCAGGTGGCCCGGGTGAGGAGGGGCATTAAACATTAACAGTGCCAGGTAATATTTACCCTGGTCACAAGAAAGGCCCTGGCCTGGACAGCAGGGCTCCCAGGGAGGCACGAGGAGGTGTGGGCAGCAGGGGCAGGAGGAGCCAACTGGGTTTCCAGACACTCCCTACGGAAATTTCCAGAGACAAGAGCCAGGGTTGGGGTGGCAGTGGTGTCCTTCCAGCAGCTGGAGAAGCCGCGGCTGTGACCGGGAGGCAGTGGGGGGAGGTCGTTTCATGTGCCATCAGTGGTTCTACAGTTTGGGGGTCAGGGTTGGGGGTGTCCCCGGAGGGCCCCCACCCCAGCTGCACCCCCCTCACCAACCACTTAGGAGATGACTGTCTCCCTGATATTTCTCGCCTGGCACTCGAGGCTTCCTGGAGGTGGTCCCGAGGTGCCCACCCCCCAGCCACGGCCCTCGGAGCCCCCCTGCACCTTTGCCCTCCAGGCCCCTGCTGCCTGGGACGCCTGTTCCTCTGTCACCATCTTCATCCATGGAGGCCACAGCTGGCAGCTCACACCTCTGTCAGAATGGCTCCAGCCCCTCAACTAATCTCTTTCCCTGCCACCCCGGCACTTTCCTTTTGCCACCATGAAGTGCTCGCACCCTTCTGCTTGGCTCTCTAGTCGTTTCCAGGCCAGGCTCCCATGTTGCACCGGAGGCTCCTGCAGGAAGGGGCCAACCCTCTCCACACAGAGAGAAGGCTTGCTTGTGTGATTTACAAGGCAGTTTCCTGTTATTTCCTTGGGCTTTGTGTTATTTTCGCATTTACAGATGAGGAGTCTGAGGCACAGCGAGGGCAGGGCCCTGGCCCAAGGTCATACAGCTGGTGAGGGGCAAGGTGGAGACTGACAGCCAAGCTTTGGCTTTAGAAGTCAGATGTTTCCCACATCTGCGAGGCTGCCTCCCAGCTCCGCTGTGGCCTCCTTCACCTCAGGGACCCCAATGCTGGGTACTCCCTGGGTGCTCATATTCCTGGCTGAGTTCTAGTCAACTGAATTGGCCTCCAGAAGAGGCTGGGGCTCAGTGGTAGCCAGAGGGCCAAGGCCAGGGGCCAGTTCAGTCCTTCTAAAGGGGACGGCCCCATCCAGGAATCCGTGAGCGGTGTAGGGGATCGACCCTGGAATTCACTTCTGAGCTCCTCCTCCACTTGCTGATCAGATGCCCTCTGTCAAGTTACTTAACTTCTCTGTGCCTCAGTCTCCTCATCTGTAAGATGGGACTGCTCCCTACTTCCTAGGATTGGTGTGAAGAGTGAGATAACGCACATGAAGAGCACGGCATGGGACCTGGTATGCAGTAAGTGTCATGGTTGTTACTGTTATTTTTGTGTTGACTGGAGAAATAACAGGCATTAAACTTTTGTTGAACGTGAGCTGTTGGGCACAGAAAAGCCAACCACTCTCCAATGACAATGAGCATGGGCGTGAGATGGAAAGAGGGAATCTCATGACCTTGCAGACCAGGAGCCATGACACCAATTCAGCTCTCTTCTGCTTTCAGGGCTGAAGGATGAATATTCATGAACATACAACAACAGAGCTAATGTTTAGTAGGAGTTGACCACATGTCAGGCTCTTTGCAAGTGCTGTCCCACTGATCCATGTTTGCCCCATTCTACAGATAAAGAAACTGAGGCTGATCATTTGCTCCTTCATCAACCCCTGGAGGTGGCCAGGGCAGTGCCCAGATCCCCATAGGCAGACCAGGAAGACAAGGGCAGGGAAGTTGAAGGACTTGCCTGGAATACCCAGTTAATGACAAAACCAGGCTAGAAAGCCAGACCCCCAAGGCTGTACTCCCAAAGCCATGCCACTCTCCACACAGGCACAGGTGCCCCCTTATTATACATTATCTTGGCATCACAGTGTATTCTGTCTATCTTTGTAAGCCACATGGATTCTTTCTGGAATAACGAGAGATATAAAGACAGGTAGAAAGATGATAGATAGATAGATAGATGATAGAGAGAAGATAGATAGATAGATGATAGATAGATGATAAGCAGATAGTTAGATGATAGAAGATAAGTAGATAGATGATAGCTAGATGATAGATGGATAGATAGATAGATAGATAGATGACAGGTAGATAGATAGATAATAGATGATAGAAGACGAAAAGAGAAACAGAGACAGCAAGTGAATAGCTGCATTTGTAACCCTATGTGCAAGACACTGTTCTAAGCACTTAACAAAAATTAATTCATTTAATCATCACAACAACTCTATGCGGTAAGGAGGGCATTATTATCATCCTCATTTTACAGGTGAAACAACTGAGGCAAAGAGAAGTTAAAGAACTTGCCGGAGGTCAGGCAGCTAGGATGTGGGGAAACCAAGATTTGAAGCCAGCAGTCTGGCTCAGAGTCCCTGCAGAAGGGCGGGTGGATGGACAGACAGAAAAGGAGGCTGTTGGACAGTCGTCTTCCCAGCTCTTGCAGCTCAGAGATGCTCAGAGCACAGATCACAGCACGCCCAGGGCTCCACGTTGAGATGCCCTTGTTCAGAAGTCCTGCCTCTCCTCGTTTCTGCTTTTCCTGCACTTCTGGGGAGCTGGGTGCACTTGGAAGTGATGGGGTGGACACCTGTGTCAGAGTCTGAGAAGGCCGGAGGGATGGGGCTCAGGGGACTCACCCAGGTACCACCTGTCCATGGCGGGAGCTGCTGGCTGTGTCCCTGGTGGAGGAGAGTCGTGAAGAGCCCGTTGCCGAGGGCCTGGATGGAAACAGTGACACTCCCTCCCTCCACCCTCAGCAAGCCCACGGGCAGGAAGAGACACAGGCAAGGAGGAGGGGCTGGCAAGGGAGCCCTCATCTCGTGCCTGCCTGCTGGGGCGGGCGGGGGCCAGGATTCACGTGAGAGCTGGGGGAGCTTCTCTCACCTCCTCCGGGCACCTGAGGAAGGGGGAGCTGCGAGTCACTGCAGAGCAAACTGCAGCCCCCACGCTGGCCCCTTTCCTCCAGGGGAGAAGTGCCACATTCAGTGCCGTCCAGGCAGCCCAGGGCACCTGCAAAGGTCACCAGGAGCCAGGAAGGCACTGGCTGGGGCCAGAGCCAGCAGCATCAGAGCACCTGATCTTCACCAGGTTTGGGGACTGAGGAAGACACTTGGGGACATTTGTGGGTCCCCCTGAGCCTTTTCTCAGCTGCAACCTCATTCCTGCAGCCCAGTTGGGCCTTTGCCCTGATCTATCCTGTCCCAAGGCCCCATTCTGTAGCCGAGAGTCCCCTGAGACTGGACAACATGGCAGCAGCCCCTTGGCAGCCACCCTAGATGGGGCTTTTCCAGGCATGGTCCTGGGGCCCAAGGTACCACCAGCTGCAGCTTCCTGTGTCCCTCCCGCCGTAGGGCAGAGATGGGGAGCAGCGGGGAGCTGGGGGCGGGAGCTGGTGTGGGGCTGCTCCCGTGGTAGCTGGCCCTTCCTCAGCTGGGACCCCTCCCTTAGCCCCTAGTGACTCGCCGCAGCCTGTGATGTCAGACTCCCCCGCCAGCCCCCCACATCTCAGGGGCCCTGCTGGAGACACCAGCAACCTAACAAGGCCTCTGAGGACTGCTGGCTGGTGCCAGAGGGGAACGGCTGGAAGACAGCACTTGTTCTAGTCCCAGGGCAGGGGTGGAGAGCCTGTCTGCCCGCTGGAGCCAGGAGCCAACAGCGTGAGCAGCAGAGCAGCCCCTACGCTGGCCCAGCTGGCTTTCCCTGGGCACTGGGGCCTCTGATGGCCTGGAGCGAGGCTGTGACAAGCTGTCTCTGCGTGGCTCGCCTGGGACCACAGGGTCTCCCTCAGGGTCTCCGTGAGCCATCCTGCTGGGCCCCCTCAAGCACAGACACTGAGAAGCAGAGTCTGGGAGGTGCTGGTTCTGGCCGCTGCCTCTGACCCTGGGCTCTGGTCAGATGAAGCCTCACCTCTCTGTTCCTCCTTAGCGACACTTCCTGCCCTGAAGAGAGACTATTGACACCCCCAGAGAGCCGCCTCTGGGCTGGAAAAAGCTCTGGAAATGGAGACTGGCAAGCCTGGAGGGGTGTTATCTGGATGGGTTGGGATCTGTTCTGGGGGCCGGAGCAGGGACCCTGACTCCAGGCTCCTTGCTCTTTCCCCACCCACCACAAGGCGGCGCTGTCACTGCTCACAAGGCCAGCGGACCCTGCACGCTGGGAGGGCCCTGAGCTGCCTAGCAGGAATTCCCCAGGCTGGGCTCTCGGAGGGGTTCACAGATCTCGGGGCTGGATGGGACTTTAGAGGTTACCTGGTCCCAACATATCAGTGGTCCAGAAAAGTGGAAATCTCAGCCAAAACCCAACCACACACACACACGCACGCGCGCGCACACACACGCATACACACAGATACATACTCCACGGTTCCTCCTAGACCCTAATGCTATGAAAGAAGGCATCTCGATCCCAAATGGAGACCCCGAATCATAGACTGACCAACTGGAAAGGGCCTCCAAGGTCATCCCACCCAACCCCGTCACTTTACAAGAGGTCCACTCTCCCGTTCAAACCCTCTGAAGGCTCAGAGTATAAGCCCAAGTCCTTTCTGTGTCTTATAGGGCCCTTTTTAATCTTTCCCCAATGACCTCTCTGACTTCGTCTACAGTTTCCCTGCCCCTTCTCTCCACTCCAGCCATACTGGTCTCCTTGATAGTCTGCTAACTATCCAGGCACACTCCTGCCTCAGGACTTTTGCACTGGCTGTTCCCTCTTCCTGAAGAGTTTCCTCCAGAGAGCTACTTGGCTAACCTCGCCCAGATCTTTCTTCATAGATTGACTCAGAAGACCCCTCCTGGCATCCTCGCCTAAAATTTTCACATCTACTCTCTGCAATGTTTCAAATTCCTCCTTAGCTTTATTTTTTTTCTGTAGCACTTATTATATCTAAGTTATATATTTTCCTTGTCTTGCTTCTTGTCTCCCAACTAAAATTTAAGCTCCCGGAAAGTGAAGATTTTTGTTGCGTTCCTTCCTAGATTCCCACCGCCTACAAAGGGCCTGACACATGATGGACTCCTAGTTTTGTTAAATGAATGAGTCCCAGAGGTGAAATAATTTTGCCAATGGCTCAGGCAGACCCAGAATTTGCCTGATGCAGCCTCTTCCCATGTAATAGGTAGCAAGAACCAGTTTGCCCCCACAGAGAGACAGTGGATGGTCGGCGCCCCCACACCCTGCTAACAGCTCCTCCAGAGCCCTTCTTGGGGCGTTCCCCATTCCTGCCTCTCTCATCCTCCCAGCTCTTCACCCAGAATCCTCCAGAAACTTTCATTAAAGTGTTCATTTGTACTTTCTGGGGAATTAAGAGTCGAGGAGGTCCCACCTCCTTTACCTCACTCACACGCCTGTCCTTCCTCAGACTTCTTCCTTGTCCCCCCACCCCACCAGCTGACTGAGGCCATCAGCCTGGCTGACACTGGGGACAAGGAACCCCTCTCTCAGAACACCCTACTTTCCTCCAAGGAGGCCCTGGCTCCTTCAACCTGTGGTCCACGGTCTCCCAGAGAGAGGCCCGGGAGAGCCCCTCCTCCCGCACGTCCTCTGCGTGCAGGGGCCAGATGGACACCGAGCACCCTGACTCTTCACCACGGACTGTGTGGCGGTGGGGAAGGTCACACCCCTGGGCCTCCCTCTCCCGCCTGTAGAATGGGATGAGAGCACCTACCTCGCAGGGTTGTAGGAACTGAGATGACATAGGTAAACTGCCTGGACGAAGAGGTCCTAACAGATGCCGACTTCATTATCCTCACCCCGATCTGGCCTTCCAGGAAACCAGGACACTCACTGTTGTCCCTCCCCCGGGCTCAGTCCCGAGCTGAGGGGATCTCTAGGGCAGGCTCCCAGAGCCCCTTGCCCTCCCTGGCCCTCAGCATGATCTCTGCCAGCCTACCCCCCACCCAGCCTCCCCAACCTTCCTTTCCTGCCCAGACACCCCCACAGCACGGCTGTTCCCTGCTGGTGTCTGGCCCCACTTCTTGTCCTCCCAGTCTTTCCTGGATATGGGGCCAAATGGGGTGGGGGTACTACTCTGCTGTCTCTGAAAGGCTACAAGGCAGGCAAGGTCCCCTCCAAACCCCACTTTGTCTGATTGTTCCAGACTGGAGCCAAAGAGGGCCATCCAGCCATGCTCTGCACTTCCCCCCGAGACCCACAGATCAAGGTCTTTGGGAGGTGTGGAGAGGTAGCCCCAACTCCCAGATCTTTCTTCCAGCATGGTCACACCCAATGGGACCGTGTCCTCAGTTGCCATGCCTCAATTCCCCCTGTCTTCCCCAAGCAGGCCTCCCCGTCCCCTGACTCCTCGGTCTCAGGGCAGCAGTCTGGGGGGTGGTCACTGTTGGGTTCGTGGGGCAGGGAGGTAGCTCGCTGGAGCATCAGCTGAGCTTTGCCTGCCTGTTGCTCAAAAGCCAGCAATGAGGCGAAGGCCCTCACCACCAGCCTTCCTTCCGAAGATGGGATTTCCCGGCTCTGCCAGCCCCGCCTGTCCAGGGACTACACATCAGAGGGCATGGCCTTGGACTCCAGGTCCCCAGTCAAACCTCCTGGCGTTGGCTCGCAGCTGGAAAGAAGACAGAAGCCCCTAGAAAGTTCTGATTCCTGGCCCAGGTCGCTCCTCAGCTGCATGGCATTATGGCCGCTCTGCAGGGAAGGTGGCGGCTCCCAGGCCCCATCTGTGCTGCCCAGAGGTCCTGAACCCCAAGGAGCGCTGGCTCCTGTCTCCTGCTGTGGCCGCAGATGCCAAGGTCACTGGGGTCTTATAAGGCGGGGCTGGGAGGAGGTGGGCCCTAGAGGGTCCATTCCTTAAGAGTTGGCTTCAAAATGGTAGGTATGGGCCCATGGGGCACTCAGGTCCTGGGAGCTGCCAAAGGGTAATGTACTCTAAGAATCAAGGTCACCAAGGCCATTCGGCTCCCTGAGCAGGCGGGGGATAGGGACGTCCTCTTCTGTTTCTACAGCTGGTGACAAGGGCAAACCCATTTGACCCACCTCTCCCACAGTGAATGCCCTGGAGAGAAATGCATTCTTGACTTTTCTCAGAACTCACCTCTGGGCTTAAACTTGACAGAGCCTGTTTCTCTCCAGCTACAATCCTCTCCTCCCAGGACCCACGTCCCTCCTCCTCTCTGAAAAGCCGTTCCAGGCACCCCACCTTCGGGGAAGGCCTGCCAGAGCACGCCCACCCCCTGCTGCTCCTGCCTTTCCTCCTCCACCTCCTGGATTCCACTGACGTGGCCCAGAGGGCTGGCATCTGGCTTTGTAACCATCTTTGCCATTTATGTCACAGATTGCCAAGGCTATCCCGGCCTCTGCGAGGACTCAGATCATGACGTCTCTTAAATCTCTGAGTCTTCACGGAGTCTGGTGCCTGGCTCTCCTCCCTTGGGAACAATTCCATCCATTTCGTGGTTCTGGATAGTTTCAAACAGCTCCTGCCTCCTAGATGTGCTTTGTCCCTCCCAAGAACTCAGCCAAGCAGGTTTGTGATACCCATTTTACAGAGGAGAGGACTGCAGTGGGATGAAGACGAGTCAGAACTGGAACCCAGGTCTAGTCAACAGAAGGGGAACCCTGCTGTCAAAGAAAGAAGATGGAAGGAAATGGATAGTGATATAAATAACACATTATCTACATGTCAAATTTTCAAAGAGTTTTTGTGTCCGTTGTATCAATTTGATACCGTGAGGCAACAGGAAAGATATTGATGGGCCCTTTGTAGAGCTGAGGAAACTGAGGCTTCAGTGGTTTTCCTAAGGGCACACAGGAGCCCAGCTCACCCTGTGGCTAGGAGAGACCTCACCTTGCAGAGAAGGAAACTGACACAGATGCTGGGGTCTGCCCCAGCTCACACAACTAGAGAGAAGAGGGGAGCACAGGGAATGTCCTGAACCTCCTTCTGCTCCAAGCCTGGCTCAGAGGCAGGAACCCACCTTCTGGATGGTACAGGGGGCCCATCCTCCAGTAGCCCCTCCCACCCCTGGTCCTTCAGGACATCCGATCAGAGCATCACCTGCTCTGCCATCACGGCCTTGGCAGGTGCCCCACAATTGTGCAACCAGGCACGAGTCTGGGGCTGGCTCCATAAAATCAATACCGGCTGGCTTGAGCTGGTTGATTCTGCCCCCCTGGAGTTCAGCTGTGACAGCACGAATCACGCTAATGGTGGGAGGTGGCCGTTCTTCCTCTTTGTGGCCTGAGGACAGGTATTTCCAATTTCCTCTCCTGACTCAGGTAAACACACCTGATCCCCCCCCCCACTGTGCCCCCCGCCCCCACCTCTCTTTCTGTCTATCCATTTGTCTGTCTGTCTCTTTCTCTCTCTCTCACTGGGCCCAGGGTGAGGCAGAGCAGCCAGGGACAAGTTGGAGTGAACCAGATAGAGCTGGACAGCGCTAGCCGCCCCCGCCAGCCTGTGATCCCAGGGAGGGCAGAACCCTTCTCCCCAGAAGGAGGTGAGGAGCCCGGTGACCTTGGGACGGACTTCAGCCTGGCACCCCTCCCCCACCTCCCCTCCCTGCTGCTCACACTCTGCCTCTGACTCTCTTCCAAGAACAATTTGGCAGGTTCCAATCCACAACCTGCAAAAAAACAGAGTGGTGGGGAGGGCCACAGCCTGGGGGCCCAGAAGGCAGGCTGACCTATTTTTATGTGGTGTTAAGGAACACAAACACCTCCATGCAAAGAGGCTTGAGAATCTTTGGAGTGGAATTCATGGGGAGCACGAGGAGTCGTCAGGAGTCGTCGGAGGTGAAATGTGCAGGACACCCGAGGTCACTGTCTGAGACGCGGGGACTCAGCATTCCCTTCTGGGAAATGGCACAGCAGCTTTCCTGTCCAACCAAGTTCCATCTGCTATAGCCAACCAAATCACAAACCTAAGTCACGGGCCTGGAGGCTGCGTGGACGTGGTCCTGCCTGCACGGAGTGCCAGTCCAGAAGGAAGACACACTTCAAGCAGCAGTCCATGCCTGGGTTTTGGATTCTGGATTCCTCTTCCCTGGCCCTGCAGTGCTAGACCAGAGAGGGAGAAGAGGCTCATCCATTGGTGAGGGGCAGGGGGTCCTCAGTTTGGGCCTGGACACTAAGGTCATCCTGGGTAGGTTCTGAGAGTCCATCTTGCCTAGAGGATCCCACCAGCTCGTCACTTTCCCTCAGCTCGAACACTGCCAGCGATGGGGAGCTCACTCCAGTATTGCATCATCACAGCTGCGGGAACTAAGGACTCCCTCACACGAGGCCACGTTCTGCCTCCTTCTCACGTCTCCTGATGGGCCTAAGTCCTTTCCTCCGCAGCACAGAGGAAGCCCGGCTTGGTGCTGGACGGGCCTCGGCTAGATCTTGGCTTTGCCACCAGCGGTGCCAACTCAGGCAGGTCCCACCAAGCCGGTTTCATGTGTAGAACGGGGGTACCACCATAGAGGGTCATGAGTTCTGAACGAGTTGGTACATGTGAAGGCCTCAGCCCAGTGTTAGCTGCTTTTCTTTATTATTATTTTGATCATCAGTTTGACTGCTCTTTACGTGTCATTTCCAGAGTGCTCACCTCCCACATGACCCTCGTCAGAGCACAGTCCAGCTCATTTGTGCCCTGAGGGAAGAGCTAGGCCCCACCAGCCCACAGGACCCTCTCCCTTCGTCTGGACGTCAGCCTTCCTGGCAAGAAGGAAGCCAGGCCGTGTGGTTGGTGTGCGGTAGAGAACTTTGGCAATGCACAGCCTGGGCTCCATTCCTAGCTCCGCCACCTCCCAGCTCTATGTCCCTAGACCAGTGACAGATTTATTATCTGTAAAATGTGAATACCCTCCCTGCCTCAGAGACAATGCTGGAATACCAGGAAGAAAAACATGTGGGTGCTTAGAGTCCAGCAAAGTAGAACCATTTTATACATATGCTAGAGGTGATAACTATCATTCTCTATTATTAACAATTATTATGAGAAAAATCAGAACTTCCCCCTCAGACTTCCTTACACGTATCTTTAGTTTAATGTCTTATTTTTAATAACGACTGTAGGGAGGTACCCACAATCTTTTGCACGCCTGGGGCCTCTAAGGCTCTCCATCTGGCTGTGCTCTGACTTGCCGCAAGGCCTGTAAATCCCTGGCCCATAAACGTGTTCCATGAGTAGTGGTCGTTAGCTTATTTACAAAGCCTAAGTGTGACCTGACTTTTTAACCACCAAGATCGCTGGGTTGACAGTGCTGAGTCTGACCTCAATGACAAGTCTCAGCCTTTTCAAAGACCAGGGGGACTGAGGGTAGAAAGAACAGGTGCAGAAGTAGGACAGGTACCACGGTGTCCCCGGGGCGGCCAGGCAGTGGCTGGACCCGCCAAGTCCCTCAGGACCCGCACCCTGCAATTCCGCAGCTCTAAACAACTCACAGAACCTAGACACACTCTGTGAAGATTTCTCGAGACCCTAAGAGGATCCAGGCATTCTTACGTTAGAATGAGACACAGTCTTTGCCCTCGAGCAACTGTCTCACAATAAAGACACACAAAACACGTAGAGGTGGGGGTTGCACACCAGCGACCTCCAAGGGAATTGGCCCACAGCTGCGTTTGGCCAAGTTACTTTTTAAAAAACTGAATTGGAGGGGCTGGCCTGGTGGCCTAGTGGCTAGGGTCGTGCACTCCGCTTTGGAAACCTGGGATCCACAGTCTGGACCCAGACCTACATGCTGCTCATCAGCCACACTGTGGTGGTGTCCCACATACAAAACAGAGGAAGATTGGCACAGATGTTAGCTCAGGGCCAATCTTCCTCACCAAAAAAAAACTCCAAAAAACTAAATTGGAATGTCTTTGGGCAGGCACTCTAGGTGACCCCAGCCGCTATGCCCCATCTATTGTGTCACTACAGCTGATTCACAAATGGCCATTATCCACCTGGTCCCTGCCATTTGGATGCGAGGTACAGAATACTAAATGTGAAGATAAAGGCAGGAACTAGTGTGACCACAGCACAGAAAAGAAGGGACTCTTTCTACCTGAAGTCCAGGAAGGCTTCACAGAGGACAGGGTATTTGGGTTTGGAGAAAGATAATAGGATAAGGGCTTGGTTCATAACCTAAGTGACCCCCCATGCCCCTCTTGTCAAGTCCTTAGGTAGCAGCTCCAGAACTGACTAAAGGGAGAGGTTGAATCTTTCATTTCAGGCCGGCGAGCCCTCCATCAAGCCACTGTGACTCGCTTCTCTCCAGGACATGCACAAGGTACCAGTCCTACTATGGAGCGGAGCCTGGGCCCACTGACCTGGGGAGGAGGTGGGTGGCGAGCAGGGGGAGGCAGGAGGAGGAAGGGGTGAGAAGGAACAGGTACAGGCCAGGGAGGGGAGGGGAGGGGCAGGGAGGGGAGGGAAGAGAAGCAGCTGGAATAAACACACACCACCTGGCTGCCTCTTCACCCGGCGCTGCCTCCCTCTGACCAAGGACAGAGCCCCTTTGGCCCTTCAAGTGCCACAGGCCCTACAAACACTCGAGTTGTTTTACAGAAAGGAGAGCTGCCTCAGAGCCACTAGGAAACAAATGGTATTTTATTCCCTTTTGTGGTTGAGAGGATGGATCACAACACAGAAGAGCAGTCCTGGTCACGGCGGCACGGCTTGATCAGTTTCCACGAGAACACGATGGACGGGAGGGGCAGGGCCTGGTTTGATCTTCCACTCTTTATGACCTTCGACCTCTTGCTGTTCCCTCTGCGGCAGGGACAGAGACGAGGAGCAAAGGCG